CATCTCTGCTGCTAATCTCATTACAAATAAAGGAGGAGTAGAAGCTGAACTGAGCCCATATAAATTCCCCCTGCCCTGCCCTGCTCAGCTTCAGGAAATACCTACTAGAATTGCCATTCTCATTATCCAAACCATCCCTGGAAACAATCATTAGCTGACTTGTCCCTTTGCCAAGTGTGTCTGCTCACCAGCCTGCTCTGTTTGCCCACAGGGCCCCCAGAGTGCCTGCTCCCACCAGGGCTCCTACACACTGCAGGCTCCTGCACTTGTGCTGTGCCACTACAGCCCTGCATGCTGCTGCCTGGCCAGACCTCAGCTGCACCCTCTCCCCTGAAATTCAGGGGTGCTTTCAACCAGAAACAAGGTGAGGGTGGCCAGGCAGCTCTCTGAGTCACCTGTTTAGCTTTCTCAAGTTCCTCAAGTGTGCTGCAGTTATTTTTGGTGGGGTTGGACATTGGCCAGGTGGTTGGGACCTGCTGACATTTATGATTTTTCTTTTTCTGCATAACAAAAGTTTTGCTAAATGAGAAGGAAACAAACCCAGTCCCAGCTTTCACCATGTGTTTAAAATAAGATAAAAGCAATTCTGGGCTGGCTGTGGTATCCTCTAGAGCTGTGGAGACAGCAGTTTCCACTGGGGGAATGGTCAGGTGCCCCACACATGCTGGGCTCCCAGAGGACACTGGGGAGCTCTGCTGCTCTCAGTGACATCGGGTCCATCTCAGTTGGGCCTGTCCATGAGGAGCCCCAGGCCCCAAGGGAAGGCAGGGCTGTGCTTGGGGCAAGCAGCAGTGCAGGATCTCACTGTGCAAGGCTGCACTCCGTTGGTTCTGGTGCTCTCACTGACACCAAGGCAGCTCATCCATCTGGGTACTGGTTTGGAAATGGAGTGGTGGGAGGGGAAGCACACATATGTGGGGCCATCCACATGTGGGGAAGAGCACAATGTCTTGGAACCTGGCCTGGGTCAAACCCCAATGCACAGACAAGCAGGAACACCTCCCCCAGGAAAAGGTGGCTCTTACAGTGGGGTGTAGACATAAGGAGCAGTTATGGAAACAAAAGACATACATACTTCTTTCCTCTTTTTATATAATTCTTCCCAAAGCAGGACTAGCCCATTTTTATCTCACTGCCAGCTGTTTTGTTCTTTCTTCCCCCAGGCTGGGCAAGGGCGTGGACAGGAGGAAACAACCTTTCTTTTTTTTTTTTTTTTTTAATGACAGCTTTTCATGGGAAGATGTTCAGCTGCCTGTGAGTGCCCAGGCTCTGCCCAGGTGTAAGCAGGAAGGATGAGCAGGGCTCAGTGCATACTCCATCTCCTTGCTTTGCCACTCTTTTCTGTGGCTGAGCTGCTGCAGCTCTCAGGCACTGAGGAGCTGCAAGGCAAAGCTGACAAACCAGGGCACGCTCTGCTCCCACCCATGGTCACAGCACCTCTATCTGTCTAGGGCCTGGGAAATAAAGAGGACATACAAAAAGACCAAACACACCATATTTTATAAGCTTGGAAATAATGAGGATTAGTCATCATCCAGTGAAGCTGCTGGAGACTGACTGTCCACATGGCTCTAAGCCTCCACAAGAACATTGGCAAGGTTCAGTTGCTTTAAATTAATGCCTCAGAAAGTCACTCAGGGTAATGCCTATGGAATGTCCAGGTTCCTTTAGACTGTAGCCACTGGACATAAAGAGCTTTAGTATTTCAGCCTTGATTATAGATTCAGAAATTTGTAAGTAGCCACAAGTCTTACGTTCAGGTGAGGTTTCAGGGGTGAGCTTTTGGCTGGAGAGAAGCTTTCAGCAGCCACTTGGAGTAAGGCATTTACAGCCCAAGGGGGCTCAGCCTTAGGCTTTCTGCTGGCCTTTCTTGGAGGTTCTTTACTTACACAAGGTGTTTTCCATGCTCCTACCCTCCGCATGAGCCATCAGGTGCCTTGCTGAGCTGTCATGACTCCTGTCAGCCACTGCTCCCCAAGCCTTGGTGCTTTTGCTGTCACTGGCTCTTCACACTCTGTTGCTGCATCCCTGACTGCAAAGTGCCATCTTGTCCTTAATAAAGGCATCATTTAATCTGCATTGTCCTGAAATATGATGGACTTCCCTTTGCTGGGACATGCCTGTGGCACAGAGCAGGCTCCCCCAGTGCCCCCACAACCTGCAGCACCTTTGTGCAAGGGCTGAGTGAACTTGGCTTGGGCCCCCTTGGACATGAAAGAAAAACAAATCTCCTTGGGAGCAAAGGTCCCCTGGCATGGATTAACAGCATGCAAGATTCACTTTCAAAACCACATCCACATCCAAACACACACACACAGAACCACCTCAGTTGTTGTTTTAAATGCTTTTAAATTCCATTATGTTTCCTTTATGGGTAGGTTGTTTTTTTCCTCAAGGACTGTCATAAATCAACCCTGCTAATCCCACACTACATTTACTATTATTATTACTAGAGAGGGCACAGCTGAGTGAACAAGGAACTAAGGCATGGTTCAAACACCTCCATGTCCAAAAGGCTCCTTTTGCTGGTGATAGAACTGGGAAATGTACAACACATGGCCAACACCTGAATGGGTTGTGCTTCCCTTTGGTGGGCAAGCCTTGGGGCTGGCCTGGGAGCCATGAGGTGTGCTCTGAAATGCACATCAGTTTTGAGCTCAGTGCTGTGACTGCAGACACTGCCTCCTTGGGGAGCTTCTTCATGATGGGGCTTTAGGAAACAGCAATTACCAGACTGGCAGGTCAGGAGAGGAGTAACAGTGTGAACCTAAGTAGAAGGAAACAAAAATATAAGTACTCTAGGTTGTCCCTGGGGCATATTTGACCAAGGAGAAGTGTATACACTCAGTACTGTTGTCAGCTTTCTTTTAGCAGGGATGCAGGTGCCCTGCAGGCACTCTGGATGTGACCCTAGCAGATGCCAGGCCCTACCTCAAATCCAAGAGTTAAAATCACTTCTCAGTCCAAGCCATCTTGGTGGCAACCCATCTCACTTGGATACCACAGATGCAAAAACCTATGCTGTATTTCGGTGCATACCCCAAAGAGTTCTGCAACTTGCTCCTGTGAGGCTACAGAGTGCCAATGAACTTGGCACCCACCTCTGCTGTTGCAGCAGAAATACAAATCCACTTCTGAGCTAGACTTTGCCAGAGCAGAGGGCTGGAAAAACAAACAAACAGGAAAAGTGCCTTTGACTTACTGCATTGCCATTTCCTGGCTTCAGCATGGCCCAGGCCGCCAGCAGGTCTCACTGGCAGAGCAGCATGGTGAAAGGCATGGCCCAGGCAGCCCAGAGTCTTCTCCTCCCTTCTTGGGGCCTGTTTGCAGTGAATCCTGCAATGCTGCATCCTCCAAGGCTGCTCCTTGGCCCTGCAGCAGAGCTGATTCACCAGGGTGACCCTGAACACCCAGCAGGGCACAGGGACTGTCCCTCCTGCTCACTGCCTGGAGCAGGTCCATGGCATGGAGTTACTGCACAGCTGATACACAGCAAGGCACAGGGACAGGCAGCCAAAAGCGCGCACACACACACACACACACACACACACACACACACACAGAGAGTCCTCACTGCTCCAGCATGGAGAGGGGGCTGTGTTCTCAGGTGTAAGGCAGGGAACCCCAAAGGCACAGGTACCATCATGAGACAGACCCCACATTCTTTGGTCTCTCCTTCTATTTGACTGAAGAAACACAAAGACAGCCCCAGATGTGTTCAGTTTATTTTCCCTGGATTTAGACACAGCTCTGGCTAACCACCACAGGAACAAACAAACCATGACCTGTGCCAGCCCCTGCACCTCCTTGCAGCAGAAGCAGCTGGTGGCACCCCTGGGAGGGCTGGGGCTGCACAGGGGCAGCTCTGCAGGATGCACCTGGGCAGTGGTGGTTGGGGGATGGCAGCACAGGCCCACATGGAAGGTGCAGCATTCAGAGTCAAGCCTTGGATGCAGCAGCATGGTGCACGTGGAGGGACCATGAAATGGGGGCCAGCTCTCCAAAGTGAACAGCTGCCCTCCCCTTCTTCTCCCCAGCTTGTCCTCTGGCTGTTTTGAAAAGAGGGATGGAGTTAAGCATTTACAGAAGAGGCACTTAAGCAGGGAAGGCTCTTCAAAGGCAGGAACCTGTGGGCAGTTCTTTGGAGAGCCAACTTGATGAATCTTTTCAACAATCAATGAGGGAAAGGAGATAAAAACAAAGGAATAAGCAATGTTGGTAGCTTAAGAATGGCCAGAGCCTTTTCCTCTGCAGATGCAGCATTGGAGGAGATGCAGCAAATAACTCTTCCAGCATTTTCTGGGTGGTAATAGTTCCCTCTTCACAGTCTGGGCATTTATTCTTCCAGATGCAGTTTACCTCTATCTTGCCCAGGACCAGCTTTTGAGGAGGTCTCTACAGAAAGCCAATCCTTGTCTACAACCTTTGCAGTCAGTGACTGGATGGGAAGAGGGGGCTTCTGAGCCTGGCAGGTTTGAACAGGCAGAAGCTACAGCAGTAAAGAGAAAAGACAATTCTCTGTGGCAGATTTTAAGTCCTGGGAATGCCAAAACTGGCAGAGGGGAGTAGAAAAGGACAGATGAAAAAGCCAATGCAGCAGGGAGCTGAGCAAAGCAGCTCAAGGATGTGAACTCCAGCAAAAGTCCCTGTAGTGTTTTCTGGATAGATTGCAGCCTTGCAGTAATTTCGAGTGAAGATTACTGAAACCTGGCTTTTAGGAACTGTGTTCCAGCAGCAGAGGCAGCTGTTGGGTCAATATAAAAGCTGCCCTTATGTCTGGGACAGAAATCCTGTGACTCAGTGCCTGTTCTGACTGAGATAGGGCCTGCTCTGATCCCACACAAAGGACTAAATTTAATGGTTGGGGAGGAATTATTTACTGGCTCAGCAGCAGTTACTTGACTACTTGCTTTCACTGCAACATCCTCAGGCTGGGTCAGAACTGCTCTGAGCAAACAGATACTACCACACCATGAACATCTGCTGCTTCTGCACTGCCAGGATGGTAGCATGCAGCCAGGACCTTCAGAGTGCAGAGCTACACCATGACCACCCAACACCATGGCACTGTAACTTCCTAGGCTGCTTTCCAACAGGGACCCAGAAATTGTGACTACAAACTCTGGGTTCTACCAGCAGCAGACTGGGCTGGAAGCTCAAAGGATGCAGTGTGAAGCAGCATCCTTCAGTTCCCAGGACATCAGCAAGAGAAGGGACTGAACATGAGTGACAGACCCTATTTCACTAGAGTCAGCTGCAAATCACGTCCCTTCTCCCTGTGCACAGCTCATGGCCCTGCTCAGCAGCTCATTTCCAGAAGCTCTGCTCAGAATTAATGCGCAAACACCAGCTCCACGTGCCTACAGAGAAATCTCCATTTTGCTAGGACTTGGGTTTTCCTTTGTTTTTTCCCCTAAAAGGCATATTTCAAATGGTGAGACAGTCATAACTCCAGTTTTTGTGCTCCAGTTTCCCCCAGTAGGAAGCAGAGCAGGAAGACTGGTGCATTAGGACACCTGAGAGTTTTCTCTAGCAGATGCTAAAGAGAAGCAACTACTTTTGGTTGAGAAAAAAAAAAAGGGTTCTCCAAGGGGGTAGAGTGGGCCTGAATGAGTCCTGAGAAGTGCTAGAGAAAAACAGGGAATGCTGGAAGCAGAGGCAGCCCCACCAGGAGATGCTGGCACAGGGATGAGGGTTCCAGCAAAAGCTGTGCTAAACACAGAAGAGGCATTCCTGAAACTCCACAATCATATTAACCTGTTAATTTATACAGCATCTCTGTACAAAAATAGAAGGGTTCTAATAAGATTAACAATATTAAATAAATATTTAATAGAAAAAGTCTTTGGCCTAGTTCATAGCTCATCCTTTGGGTTGATGTTCATTTCACTGGGTCCTAGATGCTCCTGGTCCAACATTGCAATCACTTCGTCTGCCTGGATTCGTTCCTGCAAGAGGGGAAGGGAAGAAATGGTAACATAGAGCTTCAGTGCCTGCTCCAGCTAATTCAGTGAGGCTCAGGCTGCGGGGAGGACACACAGCAAGGATTTTACCCCAGAACCAGCAGTGGAGGTGAGAGGATGGGGGAGAGACTGGGGATTTGCTGGGCAAAATTAATCAAATCCCTTTCGACCTCAATGCCTGATTCCCTCCTCCCTGCAGGGCTGCAGTGGTTGGGGCAGAGCTGATGTTCTGTAGTTCCCTTATCACACTTCACTAGCAGCCACTGCTACAGCAGACCCTCCTCCTGTCCACTCTGCTTGTTGATTTCCAGATCCTCAGGCAGGGCTGATCTCCCACCATACAGGCACCAAGCCTGGAGGAATTTCTGCTAATGCAAAAAACCTGAGAGACACTGATTTACATGTCTGAAAATAAGCTTTTCCCCAAACCTCACAGCCCACCTCCATCACAAGGCAGAGGAATGAGGGTTTTGCATTCTCCCTGCATTTAGTTTTGCTCGGTCTTGTATCTTTCATTTTTACAGAGCAGAATTGCTACCAAAGGGAGGCAGGGGCTGGTACAGCAGCCTTTTAAAACAGAATGTGGAGGGTGCCTGGTGAAAAGCATCACAGCCCAGATCTTCCAAGGCATCTTGGGTGTCCAGAGCCATGGATTTCAAGTTGCTGAAGTGCTTATGGGAGGACTTAGCAGCAGGACTCACACAGCACTCTGAGCTGTGGATGTCTCTGCAGGAGTTCCCCATCCATCAGGCTGCTGCCACTAGGTGTCAGAAATGGCCTTTCCACACCCCACTCAGCACCCCAGCCCAGCACTGCACCCCACGGCCAAGGACAATGCGTGCCCAGGACCAGGACTGGCAGGAAAAACCAGCCCTGGGGCCAGCTCCTCTCATGGCAGTGCTGCTGTGGGGGCTGTAATGGGAGGAAAACAGATCTACTGGGACTGGAGAAAATAAGATGGTCCTGGCTCCTGTGGGACGCTGGGTATGCCCCAACTGCCCTCACACAGGATGGAGGGACTCACCAGCTCTCTGTAGAGAGGGTCCAAGGTGAACCAGAGAGCCACAGCGCAGCGCTGGCCCTTGGTGACCGCCTTCACCCCGTGGGGGTTCTCACCGCCCGACGAGAAGCTGATCATCCTCCCACACTTGGGCTTGATGGAGGCCTGCAGGGAAACAGCACAACAGGCTGGCAAGGGGCTGCACACGCTGGCCTGGGTGGGCTCACCACGCCCCAGGGCTTGGGACCTCACTGGGCAGCCCTCTGCATCGCCCCAGGACCTGGTGAGCTGCTTGGGGGGACATGCAGAGCTCTGGGCAAGGCTGGCAAAATGTGTGGGGTAAATAAGGGGGTGTGAAGCTTGCTCCTGCTGTGCAGACATTGTGCAGAAAGGACATAATGGCATGGAGTCTCTGGAAAGCCGACAGGTGACCACCTAGAGCACAATGGGGCCATGGCATAACTCCAGGGAATTCCAGGATAAGCCTGGCATGGCTGTCAAATACCTCTTTCTTTTTCTCTTGGCAAGAGTCCACAAGAGTCCTGCAGGACCTTGGGAGGAGAACTGCCAACCAAACCAACCCTCAGGCACTTAAGTAGACACAATCTACCCTCCAGCTTCTCCAGAGACCCCAGCATAGTGCCCAGACCTCTGTCCAACCACAGAGTGGGTGCCCAGCTTCCTTAATGGCCCCGAACAGAGGTGAGGGCTCATGCCTGAGCCACATCCCTCTCAGGGTCTGATATCCACCACTGTGACCCACTCTGGAACAAGAGACCTGCATCTGTGTGGAGACACTGCCTCATGTTTGACCACGAAATGGGGTGGCAGCTCAGCAATCCTCCAGGCCAGGGACAAGTACCAGCCACACCTCTGCTTGCACTGGGGGTGGGGAGAACCCCCAGTCCACAGGTTTACTGCTTGGCACAGCCTCTAGGGAGGGAGAAGATGGTCTGTGCACCTCTGCAGCAGGCTGTTTGCAAAGTAGGAGCCACAGGCTGCCTGGGGAAGCCCAGAGCCCTGAGTATGGACTGCTGAGGAACAGCTTTTGGCCCACAGCACCAACTCACTGTCACAGTTTTGGCGTCCATCTCGGTGAAAATGAACTCGCCACCTTCAAAATCTGCATTCATGTACAGGAGGGCACTGGGGAAGGAAGAGGGAAACCCCAGTTAGGGGAGCACTGGGGAGGTCTCAAGGCTGACCCCCACCTCCTGGACAGATCCCACAGTGCTCCACGGTGGGGACAGCCAGAGGGAGAGAAGCTCCTAGGGAGATTCCTTCCTACCTGTAATCCCGAAAGGTGTAGGCAGGAGGTTCCTTCCAGCACTCGTTGGCTTCGGGGTCCAAGAGGCAATTGTCAGCATGGATGGGATGGCTCAGATCATTCCTGCGCTCCTGCTGGCCTAGGCAGGGCCATGTGGAGGAAGGGGGAAGGAGAAGGGATGGATGAGATGGGAATGCCATGCTCTGTGGGGTCCCATCATGGGGTGGGAGCCTACCCTGACCCCACTCCAGGTGGTGTTCACAGGTAAGAGGAGGAAAGGAATGGCTGGGGAGAAAAGGCAACATCTGAGGACTCACATCTGCACAGCTCTGCCTTTTTCTGACTGCAGGGAAGTGAAATGGAGAGCTGGGGCTGAGGTGGAAAGGAGAAGGGACAGACAAGAGAAAAGGGAGGAGAAAATAGAAGAGTTGCAGATATGAAAACCAAGAGACATCCCAGAAATTATTTTTCTGAGGGACAGCAGTGTCCACTTTTTGCTGCTGTGGGGTGCTGACTTTGCCCAGCCTTGGCCACCCATTTAAGCATTAAGCACAACAGAGCTGCTCTGAGCTCATGAAGCCCCCATGGAGGGCTGAAGCCCTCCCAAGCTCCCTGCTCCTCACCAGAGAGAGCGGTGCGGCACACCAGGTGTGTGTAGGAGAAGTAGAGCGTGGAGTTGAGCTGGAAGTAGGACTGGACAATCCTGCGAGCCTTCTCACTGATGTCATAGAACAGCCGGGCACTCTTCAGAGGGACACGGCCCTCGTAGCCATACTGGGCAAGGAGAGGGGCAGGGAGAGGTCAGTGTCATGTGCAGACTGGGAGGGAGGGCATGGGAGAGGAGGAAAAGGAGAAGGGAGCTGTACCTTGAGGGCTTTGAGGACAGTGGCTCCTTCAAATCTCTCATTTGGGGTGTGGGGGGAGGTTTTGCCTCTGTAACCATCTCCAGCCAACATGATCCCCTGGGAAACAGGAATATAGAGGAGGGTGAACTGGTGTGTCAGGAGAGAGGGATCTGCAATGGAAGTACATGGCACCCTCTTCCCCAAATCCCCCAGGGCTGCATTCGCTGGGCCAGGTGAGTTGGGGTGGAAAAGTGCTGCAGCTCTCTGTGAGCCCAGATGCAGGATATCAACCACACACCTCCCACCTGGGGATGTTCAGGCAGCCTCAGTGCCTTGCCAAGCTCAGTTAATGGTGAATGAGAAGGCTCACCCAGACTTGTGGATGAGCATCCTTTGGGTTGTTATAACATGGGGAAAGAGCTCTTTCTGCACAGGCTCTGTCCTGCAGCTCCGGACAGCTCCCGTGCTGCAGTTATGGGTGTGCACTGGGGACAAGCATCCACGCCCTCTCCACAGGCACCCTGCCATCAGCTGTAACACTCAGCAAGGCATGAGCCCACGGTCTCCAGGGGCTGATCACACATCCAGCTGTCACACTGAGCCCAGGGACATTGCCCACTCACACTGGCCACCCTGTGCAGTTCCCGGCACTGCTCCTCCGAGATGACATTATCCAGCAGCACTCGCTGGGTGCCATTCAGCTGCTGAGAGTTGTAGACAAACTTCACATCGCTGTAGAGAAGAGGGCCCCCTGAGGAGAGACACAAAACCATCCTGCTGAACATGCCCTGGCCTTGTGGACATCTTATACAGAGCCTGGAGGCCAGCTGAAGTCACCCAGGTGTGCTGACAGGCAAAGAGCTCCGCAGCAGAGAACAGTGTTATTGTAAATCAAAGGTGACTCTGACGAAGGGGAGAGAAAATGATGATGCATCTGACTCCAGCATCAGAAAGCTAATTAATTACTTTATTATACTACTACTATATACATTTCATCTAAACTGAATCTGCCATGCACTCACTCTTGCTCACAACAGCACAGAACTGCACTCCTCTCTCATTCTCCTGTGACTGTCCCGTGACAGTCTGACACACACACACCTGGCCCCGATAGGCCAAGGGAACAAAACATCCTCACTTTGGGTAAACAATCTCCATCTTGCATTCTACTTCAGCACAACACAGGCACACCAAGCGAGATAAGAATTGTGTTTTCCTTCTCTGCTTGTCTCACAGCTTCTCTCTGTTCAGAGGGCATGTGATTACTACAGAGTGTGGCCTCCCATCAGTCACAAAAGAAACAGAAGCAATGGGCACACAAGAAGATGAAATCAATTTGATATAGGAGCATCATCAATTTCTACCTTCTCAACAGCTACCTTGCAAATGCAGGGGCCACAGCCTGGAAACACCAAACCCCAGTGGGACAGAGGGAGAGACAGGGACAGTGGCTAATGGCTCTCCAGCCCAGCTGTCAACACCCAAGTGGATTCCCACTGCATTTTGTGCTGTGTGGATGCTGCTGGCTTGGCATGCAAAGCCACCCTCTGCAGTTGTCATCAGTGATTTTTGTCTGCCATACACAGAGAAAGCCTCACACGGTGCTGAGCTTGCAGCAAGCATTGCTCTCCTCCAAGAGCAGGGCAGGGAGTGGGTGAGCCAGAGGACTCTCGGGATAATCCTCCTCCACTGAGGCAAAGGAGCTGCCAGGGCTGTCCCTGCCATCCCTCACATCCTGCCTCTGAGCAGCCTCCCTCTGCTGCAAGCTTTTTACAAGAGATTTCAATCCATCCCCATCAAATCTGACTGATCCAAAAACCAGACCAGGGCCCTAAACCACCATCTTTTGAAGCCTCTTTCATGCATCTCCTCAAAGAAAGAAAAGGAAAGAAATGGTAACAATAGAAGCCTAAACCAGATGTCTCTCCAGGAAAAAAATGAAATACATCTAAACTGTGAAGAAAATTATTTGTTGTCACAGACAAGCAACAAAATAGAGGAAACAGAGCTGCAGAGTTCCTTCCCACCATGTGGCATATGGAAACTTCTCTGTGACAATGCTTTTGTAACTTCTAGTTTTCCTATCTACTGAGTCAAAACTGTGTTCTTGGCAGGTCTCCTTGGCCTATGGAAGACACGTAAACCCCACAAGCCCTGTCATAAGCTCACAGCTTTATTTCTGAAGAGTTAAGTTTCTTGGAAATGGAAAATATGGGATGTTTCTGGTGTTCACTGTGCTGATTTTTTTGCTTGATAATCACACTTATTGCAAATGCAGCTGGATCAGAATCAGAATTCTCAAATCCAAGCTCCTGGCATGCTCCAACACAGGGCTGAGTTCTCCAGCTCAGCTGTTCTTCCCCAGCCATAAGCACATGAGGGATGAACATGGAAGTTATTGCTCAACACTTCCAACATTTCTCCTGGCTCCTCCCAGGGAACAAATGGGGCAGCTCTGTGCCATGGGCACGGAACCCTTGTCCCACACTGACAGTGTGCTCCCACCTGCTTTCCTTGCCTCTGCCTGCTCGGAGCACCAGCACAGACAGACCTGTGTCTGTGCTCTGTGAAAAACACCCCAGAGAAACTGAGGAATTCTTTGGACTTTTGGGAGAGAAGGAACTGGCAGAAAGGAGGAAGCGGGGAAGGGTAGAAGTATAGAAGAGTCCAAAATTAGAATGACTTTTCTCTTTTGGCCTTTTCTTTTTCCAAGTAAAAAGAGAGAAAGAAAACAAAAAACAACCAAAAAAGGCAGTATCTAGATGGACAAAAATCCCAGTTCCTTTTTGATTGATTCCGTTTTCTTTGTAAACAAAAACATTCTGCAAGTAAACCAGAATAAGAGCATAGAAAGGAATAAAAACAGAAAGAAAGACTCTGAAATTACTGGGTTATAAACAGCAAACAGGCCAACAAATATAATTCAACCAGCTCTTAGCTTAAGCAAGATCTTTGGTATCTTCCTGTGGTATTTGTCCATTTTATGTACAGCTAGAGAAGGGATAACAACACTCTGAGCACAACACTGAGCAGCTGGACACAACTTGGACTGGGGAAAGCTGTGAAATTCCCCAAGAAGAGCTACCACCCATTGCACTACAGGGAGGTTTAATTGCCTGCTGCTGTGGAGCTGGCTCACTAGAGACACAAGACATCTCCTGGCTCGAGACCCTGTTGTTTTGCAGCAAGGATTCTGCTTTGGTGCTTGGCTACAATATTGTTTTTCAAAATTGTTAAGGGAAAAAATCCTGTCTTTAGTAGATGTTATGGTATTTTCTGTGGCTGCCGAAAATGTGCTGAAATCAGATGAAATGTCTGCTGACAGGCTTATAAACAAAGTGATTTCATGTGAGCTAAGACATGAAATCATAAGCTTAGTCTGCAAAGAGAAGTGATTGCTAGTATGGTGAGATCCAGCACATTGAGCAGAGCATGAGGACAGGCTGCTCCCAGCACCCATCCTTCTGCAGCCTGGACAACAGGGAACACACTGATCTCAAAAGCACCCGGACAGAAGACTACTGTTTGCTGGTTTGCTTTCCCCATGGTGAGGAAGACCCAGCCTCCCAGCTCCACATCTCAGGGCTCTGTACTGAGTAGCTCAGCAGGTGAAAAAACAAGTCCAAGGGCACAGCAGTGGCCTGGGATCCACAGACCCAGAAATGCTGTGGCAGCACTGAAGACTTTTCTGTCTCAAACAAAACTTGAACTCCCTTAAATAGGAGTGGCCCTCACTACCCAGTGGCCAGCCTTTGCAGTCTGTAGTCTCTAGCAAGAGGAAAAAAAATCCCAATTTTGTTGAGACATGTTTAACAGCCTTACCCTCCTTCAGCTCTCGATCTGGCTTTGGCATGGGTTTCTTTGTCAGGGACAGCCGGGGCCCATCCTCGGGTTCACTGCTGATGCTTGATGGGACACTGAGGAGCAAAAGAGAAAAGGAACACCATGACTTTGGCCACAAGTTCTTCAGCTTGCATTTTTACTCCCCTTGGAAACAATACACAAAAAAATCCAAGCAAATCAGTACTTTGTACAAATGTCACAGCCATACAAGCTGAAGCCCTGTCCTATGGCAAACACTGCTGTTCTGGTAATGAGAGCAACACCTTCCACCAACAAAGCACAGACACCAACAAATCTGACCAGCACAACTTGCCTCAGCAATCAAGTTCCCTCTAGATCATTGCTGATTTTGAGGTACTCAGTTAAAATAAGGTTCTTGTGGGAATGTTTTCAATGGCAAGGGGCAGAGGGCCCTAATTCAACCAGGATGGTGTGCTGGGTGGGTGGGCAGTACCCCTGAGTGGCAGGCTGGTACCCCACCATGATCCCACCATGGGGAATGGTGAAGCTGCAGCTCAGCTGTGGCTCACCTGTGCTCGTCCTGGCGGGCGCCGTACCTGTTCCAGTAGTTCTGTGGGAAAAGAGAGGACAAACTTCTTAATCTAATGCTCCAGCCAAAGCCAGGGCATTACCTGCTCTGCCTGACCCCCAAGGACATCAACCAGCCTCTCTGGCTCCATCCCACATAACTTTGGGCAATGGCCTGAGTTCACCAGATTGAAAATGTGGATGAGGCTGTATGCGGCTCTCCTTCACCCCAGGAATGCCTCCTTTGCTTTGCCATCCCTGTTTTCCTACAGGGAACAAACCAGGCCAAGACCCAGCTCCTGAGTCACCCACAGAGGGCTGGATTGACAGGAGAGGGGCAGGGGGAGCTGTCCTAGAGCTGTGAGCTGCTGGCCCAGCACAGGCAGGCGTTACCGGCTCCGTGTAGGCGAATCCCAGCCCGGCCGCCGCCACCCGCAGGAGGTGGGACTCCAGCTTGTGCCGCCGCAGCAGCGCTCTGGCCTCCTGCAAAGAGAACAAAAACACGAGCAGATGCGCATGGCCAGCTTCTGCAGGACAGTGGCAATGCCCCTCTGCTTCACAGGGGTTTGGTTTCCATGCAATGCTGCAGATTTCTTTAGGTTGAGGGATGCTTGGGCCAACCCGAGGCACAAGGCTGAGGCACTCAATACATGACAGAAGGTGTTCAGCAACTCATTTAGGAAGCCTGAATCCCCAAAACACATGTCCAAAGCTGGCAGAAATTCCTGAACACCTTGGTGAGCCTCAAAGTATCTGGGCAAAAGGCTGGCCAGAGAAACCCCAGCTGCAGAATGAGGGCAAGTTCAGGCTGGTGGGGCAAGGACCCTGGCTGGGCTGTGCCTCAGTTCCCCCCATGGAGCCCACGGCCTGGCCCTGGGATGCACTCAGAGTGCTTGGATGGGGGCCACAAGGCATAGCCAGCTGGAAATTGTCCATCAGAGGGCTTTATTTTGAATGAAAAATCTGCAAACGCTGGTATTTCTCCTAGAAAACTATTGTGCAAAGCAAAAATAAATTCATTTTTTTTAACAGAAAACCTAAAAACACTGTAAACAATTAAATGATTTTGCCAACTTAAGGGTTTTTTTCCTAGATTCATTTTGTGATGGAAAAGAACATTGTTTCTTGTTTTCCTTTTAATAATTTTGCTTTTATTTTTTAGTACTTTATCAAATTCACCCTGATTTGCCTGGATGTCAAGGAATTCCCAAAGGAATGGAAAAAACAGTTCCTGCCAACACTCTGTTTATGGTGCGAGGGGAATGACTGGGATGGGATGGGATGGGATGGGATGGGATGGGATGGGATGCAGCCCCAGGGCCGCAGATAAGGGGTGCCTAGACTGGAGAGGAAGCCTGTCCTGCTGGGTGATGGAACACACATTGTGTGGTTACTTGACCCCAGCCTAACCCTGTGATAGCAGAGCTACTGTCTGCAGAACAGGCTGAGCCCTGAACTCCAAACTAAGAGACTTGAGAGTAATGCTGGGATCCCATCCTCCCCTGGGAAATTTTTCCTAGCCCTGTCTGAAGAGATGCTGCCCTTTGCTTGGAGTTTTATTGCATTCGTCCTCTGTGTGTCCGCCGGAGCACTGGGCAAGAGGAGGGTTTACACTGTTGGTCACTGCCCTCCCTGGCCTTGCTCAGGCTTTACTAGGCTGAAGTCCCCATTTAAAGCAAATCCTGTCCACCAGCTTCTCCCCTACACCAGTGACTCTGAACTTGCACCCTGAAAATCACCACCTCAGCATCACCAGCACTCTGCTTCTCTTTTTAAAGTGGTCCCACTGGGGCAAAGCTGCCAGGCTGCTTTCATTTCCACCAGTTTTTTTTTTGTTAAAGCCTCCCACCAAGAGCTCTGAGGTGTCACTCAGTCTCACCTTTCTGGGTTTGATGGTGGCTGGATCCACTGTGCCTTCCAAGAGACCCTCATAATAACCTGCATTCTCCAGGACATCTTCATCGTCCGGGTGGAACAGCAGGTAGGACTTGGCACACTCCAGGGCTTTCACATAGTCACCAACTGGGGGGAACAAACAGTGGTTAGGCGAGCACAGGAGGGCACAGGGGCCTCACACAGAGCCCAAGAGGGGACTCTGCAGGGAGGGAAGCACAGCCTGAGCTCCCCATCAGCTGAAGCAGCAGCCCAGGACTTCATGGGGCTCTTTGGATGCCTCTTTGTCGTAACAACTCCACTTCCCCAGCAAGGAAACTGAGGGACAGAAACAAGACTTTTCTGCCATCATGCACAGACCAGATGGTATCCAAATTGCACCCAAATGGATGGGCAGGATGTGGATACTGTCTGGCATCAAACTGCCTCTGATCTGTGCAGCATCTCTCAGGGCCCAGGGGTTTTCACCCACCACAGCAAACCTCTAAATGGCAGAGGAATAAAGAAGCCTGCACACCACACATGAACTGACTCTCCTTCTTTCTTCCTGTTGTGACGATGAATCTTTATCTTTTAATAGAAATTGTGACCCTTGCACAGCCCTTTTCAGTAAAAAGTTATTAGCAAAAGCCTGAGAGAGCAGATGTCTATTTTCCTTTATGTAACAAAACATGATAAAATAGCCCACAGAACCACAAAACTGGCACGATTTTTTAGCACTGCCAACCTCTGACATTTTGCCATGCTGTCACCTCCTGCAACTTTGCTGCGAATACTAAAATACTTGGTAATTGTCAAAAATTGGCATCTTGAGATAAGCTTGAGCTAAGTCATATGTCTGTTATATATTAATTTAGAAAATGTATCAGTTCGTTTCAGAAAATGTGAAACATATGAATCCCAAGGATTATAATATTAAAAGGCAAATGAAATGACCCTAAAAAATCACGATTTATATAAAGAAAAGTAATGTTTAAGCTAAAGGTTGGGCTTTTAAAACCTGACTGATCATCTAAAACACCTTCATAAAATTACTTCACTGTATTTTAGTCAACCTGACTTTTGAAGAGACCATTTCCAGTGTCCTTTGCTTCTCTTTCAGACCGTGCCTCTGCATCGCTGTAGTGTGGGCACTGGGGGAAATAGCCTTATTCCCATATAGAAGAACTTGCACAGAATGAGCAGAACTCAGCAGTGCTGCGAGGGACAGGACTTTACCTCTGTAATAGGCAAACTGCAGGTAGTCGTAGTGGAGGGGCAGGAAGTTCTCAATGGGCGAGATGCGGCCCGAGCGCGTGGCCAGCTCCCGGACACAGTCGTGCTTGCAGGCCAGCACCTGCAGGTAGTGATCTGCCAGGACAAGAGGGAGAGCTGCTCTGAGCTCAGGGGATGGTGACAGTGCCCAGACAAGGACAGACAGAGGTTCAAACTCCTCAGCTGAGCGATGTGCAACTCACACTGCTTTGGCCCGGCAGGTCAGTGTGCACCGAGGGGAAGAGCTCATATTGTAAATCAAAGGCAACCCCAACATTGGTGAGGGAGAGAGAATGATGTATCTGACTCCATGGATATCAGAAGGCTAATTAATTACTTTTTCATACTACACTATATACATTTCATCTAAATTGAATCTGCCAAGCACTCACTCTGCACACAACTGCTCACACTGCACAGAATCCCGTGACTGTCAGCCGACAGTCCCAACACACACACATAGGCCAAGGACACAAAACATCCTCACTTTGGATAAACAGTCTCCATATTGCATTCTACTTTGGCACAGCACAGGCACAGCAAGTGATAAGAATTGTGTTTTCCCTTTCTCTGAGGTTCAGAGAATGTGAATCTCAGAAATCCTTGGGAAGAATTGTGCCTTGCTGTTCTCTGTGAAGAGAAATGTGGCGACAGCTCAGACTCCTCCCCAGAGCCAATTTGAGAGAGTTGTAGTTACAATTTTGCCTCCTTTAGGAAATGCCTTTCTCCTTCTCTCAACTGTAGAGGGAGCTTGAGCATCTCTTTGGTGCGGCAGGAGCTGCGGCGTGCAGGGACTGCAGGTGGCAGGTCGCACTTCAGCCCCAAGAGACAAATGAATAAGCAAGCAGAGAGGTGAAGGCAAGGTGACCACATGTGCTGCCACATGAAATCCAGCTCCAGACTCCCTTCCTCCAGCTCATCCTTAATCCTCTCCTTTCCTGCAGCAAAAAGCTCCGGAGGGCACAGGGAGGTTTAGCTAAGAGGGGCTGGTGCAGGTTCTCAGCACAGCCAAGCAAGGCCAGTCTGAACGGTCCGAGGTACAAACCTGGGCAGCAGAAATCCCCGTTTGCTGCTTCTCAAAGATGAGGCATCCCCCAGGGAATCACAAGCACATGATAAACATTTGCCATTAACAAAGTTTCTTAATTAGTGGGACTCCACAGTATAGGTGCTGTACCAGCTGTACAATTTCAAAGCCAACACTGACATCTGATTCCATTTTGGAACCTTTGCTGCAATGTACTTACGAATCTAATTTGCTTGCTCTGTCTCTGCACGCCATTAAAAACCTTAAGAAACAAACACAGGCTTGAAAATAATCATGTGCTCAGCTACTAAAACATTTCTTAAGAGCTGCCATAAAAACCACCTGAGGAATTTGCAATGAAACCAAGTGGAAACTCAGAACAGTGCCTATGTGCTCTTGGCTCTTGACAGATAGTCTGAGTAGTTATCTGACTTACCATGCATTTCCAGGGTATTACATTAGGAAAAGCAAGAAGGGAAAGGACATAAATAATTTTGTTGTAATTTAAACCTGTTTAAGCATCCTAGATCTGAAATAATCAATCCATCAATGAAAAGTACTGCTCTTTCTTGGTACTGTAATCAATTCACTGAAATGTATCTGTCCTTAGGGGAAAAAGGTGAGAGTGTTTCAACCCCAAGCAGCAGCAGAGCAAATCAGTTTGGGATTAAAAAGAGAAATTAGTTTTGCAGAAACCTAAACTCTCTTTTCTTGGTGTATTATGTGTTCCCACTCCCTACTGAAATGTCTGTGCCTGAGTGCCTTGGACCAGGGGTGAACTTTGGATTATCCTGTCCTGGAAAGAGCCACCTAGTTTCCCATAGAAGAGCAGCTGCATCAAGGATTTTATTTCCCTCCCTCAGCTCCATGTTCCTTTGGGTGCCTGAATGTCCTGGGGTTTGGGGTAGTTAAGGCCAGGCACACATGGCCAAGCCTCAGCCCTTGCAGGGACCCTCTGGCTGTTGTCCCCCCAGGTGATGTCCTGCTCTGAGCACCACCATGGCCCTGTCTGTGCTCAGGAAGGGCCAGCACAGAAACACCTCAGCCCACTGGGGCTGCACGCAGCTGGCACAGCACAGGAGCAGTTTGTCCTGTCTGAAGAGCAGCAGCTCTCAGTGGGAAGGATGCTGGGCCTGCTTTGCCACTGAAGGCTGCTCTCTTGATGGGAGTCCTGCTCAAGGCTCTAAAACAGGCCTGATCAGCTGACAGCCACACTGGGACCAAGTCAGCCTTTCCAACACTTCTATTTTTTGCATGGTAAACAAACCCCACCAGGGCAGCTTCCCATCCGGTATGCTCGTGGTTTCTCCTCTTGGTTGTTTCAATTAGATTTCCTCTCCTGACACAAACAGAATTATGCAAACCCAAAAAACATTCTGCATCTGAGTGAAGTATTTTCCACATAAAAAGCAAGATTTCGGGGCTTGATGCAACTCCAAGACCATAAGCAGATAAATAAGATTTCTGTCACCAAACAAACGTTAATTTATTGCTCTTCCTTCCCTTACAACTAATTAAATGTAATCTCATTTCCACTGAGAATGAACTGTTTTAATCCTCTCTGGCTCAGAGCCACACATGCAAATCTGAAGATTACAGAGCAACGTTCCATTCTCTCCAGAGATTTCAGTCAAGATCATAATTAGGTGGGCCTCCACTAATGACAAATCCATCCTTTTGGATGGGGAGAAAATCCACGTTACGAGCTTTTTTGGCAACTTTCCTGGCCACCTGGAGCATGGCCAAGAGAACTCTGCTGCTCTCTTCATGTGCTCTCAGAAACAGAAAACATAAACAAAGGCCAGCAATGCCTGAATTCCAGGGAGGTGTGTGACACGGTGTACAGGGGAAATGGAAGCAGTGTAGATAAAGCACCTCAACTTCCAGCTCTAACAGAAAGCTGCAAATGCTCCACGCATCTGGAAATGCAATACTCCTCACCCAGCTTCTGTTCAGGAGCAAAATGAGAAGTTCTAGCTCACTGTGCTCTGAGTCTGCACTTTCTGGGTTTCTAGGTGCCTCCTGCAGTGTTACTCACCAGCAGCAGAGGTGGCAGGGAAGACACTTCAACAAATCCAGCCAAAGGTCCAAACTCAATAACTAAAAACATTTCAGGGCCACGGGTGAGAACTCTAAAAATCACAAAAAGATCTCACCTGCAATAGCTTCGTAGAGACCAGCCTTGTAATCCAGGTGCTCGTGCTCCTCAAACCTCTGCGGTCCCTCGCACATGAGCTGGCAATCCTCATCCTCAGAGTAGTATCCTTGCAGGGCACGCTCCAGGAGCTCAATGGCCAGCTCGTACTCCTCCCTGTCGTAGTGCCTCACCCCAGCACTGTAGTCCTCCTGCAAAGCAGGCAGGCAGAACACAAACCATGAGCAGGCCATGCTGCCTGGAGCACAGCATCCTGCAGGGCTTCTCAAAGGAAGGTACAAGGGGACAGGGACAGGGACAGGACAATCTCCCCATACCTATCAGATATAACCATTTGCACCAAACAATGTTTAAGCCATTGATGGACTTTTGGATCAGTGGAACCTACTAAACCTGCCTAAATGCTATTCTGAGCTCCTCCATACTTAGGGAATCCTCAGTGCCACTCCTAGATTATGCATTATATTAAAAAAAAAAGGTTTGGGGTTTTTGTTTTTTGTTGTTGTTGTCGTTGTTTTTGCCCTCCCACCAAACAACAACACTGAATGCCAAGAGAACAAATTGCTCATTTTTTAGAATGGCCTCTAATGAACATCTCCATTAATTTCACCCAACAGCCACTCCTGCTCCCCTGAATCTTGTGAAATTGGGAAGCTGGGAGTGGCCCTGGCATTTGACTTGGGCTTTTGCTTTGTGGAGGTGGAAGCAGCTGACACTCTTGCCTGCCACTCTGCACCCTCACCACCACAGCCACCATGTGCATGTCCCCTGCCCAGGTGGGAGAACTCAGGTCAAAAGAAACACACAGGAGCTGTCCTGAAGGAAACACAGGAGCTGAGATGTCATGGAGGCGTCCATCAAAGCTGCCTGCTGGTGTGTGTTCACAGCCATGTGAACCCCAGAGCTCTCTGAACACAGGGACCAGGCTGGGGATGCAGCTATCAAACAAAGAGCAGAGTGCCCAGAGAAGGCAGGAGCAGGCTTGCCTTAAGGGGAAATGCTGAAAGGAGAGTTTGTTTTGCTGTATTGGTAAGAATTTCCCCAGTCACAGATTAATCTCTTTTGGCCTCCTAGTCTCTCCTCTCCAGACTTCCTGATACTGGGCACCTCTTCAGCCTCAGACTCACCATGTGCTGCCTGGCCTCCTGGTCAATCAAGGTGGCCTTCCCTGACGTGGTCTTGTAGTTCTCCAGGTCCTGCTGTATCTCCATGTGCTCAGGGTTCGCCATGAAGAAGGTGTGAGCTGCATTTGCTGCCTCCTCCAGCTTGTTCAACTGTAACAAGGGGAGAAGAACCAAGTGAGACTGGTGATGTAGAATGTAAACACAGCTCTGACATCCTTTTGACACCATTGGATTGGGAAATGATGGGATAACCAAGGAAAACCTGAATGCAGAGGCTAAAGAAAAAAGCTGAATTGAGAGGAAAGCCCCATATAAGTGAAATGGGAAGAGCTGGAGCTCCTGAGAGCCAGACAAGTCCCTGCAACAGGGTCTGTTGGTGATGGGATCCAGCCTTTGTGCTGGTGATGGGATCCAACTTGTCTGTTGGTGGCGGGATCCAGCCTGTGTTCCAGCAGCACATCCTCTCAACTCAGCTACTCCAACCCCCTGCACAGTTCCAGGTGGAAAGATGCTCTCATGAGATATGAGATGGAGAGAGGAGGGGAAAGCAGCTGCAAACACTGCTCTCTCTACAAGCCCTGGAGGCTGAGCTTTGTCCAGGCTAAGGCTTCTGCTTGGAGACAGGGACTGAAGACCATTTAGTAAGCTCAGCTGTGTATAGCTGCAAAAGGCCAGGCTCTGCTGATGGCGGCAGAGGTGTAAAGAGAGGTTTATTTTGATATACCAAATTATTTTGTGTTTAGAGATTCAGAAGGAGACCAGACATCAGTTTCACCCTGGAGAAAGCCTCATAAACAAACAAAACTGCTACTGCTAAACACATCCATGGCAGCTGCTGGGAGCATCAGGAGCAGAACAGATGTTCAGGTGAAACCTCTGCATGAGCTAGCAAGAGAGAAGTCACTAAAACACTTGCTTCTGAAAGAAGGCCAACACCACTGGGTACCAGCAAGCTGCAGGCAGGTCCCTGGGATACATCAGCAGCCTGACCCAAACCTGTCAGCCAGGGCCAGGCTAATGCTAGCCCAGGCTAGGCTGGGTCAGAGTGCTCTCCCTGTCACCAAAACCCACAGCAAGCCCTGTGCCACTGCTGCAAGGCTGCTCCTGAGGCACGAGAGCCAGCAAGCCCGGGCACATCCATGGGACACGGTACAGCAGCTCACCTGCACAGGCACCCAGCAGACAAACCCCAGCAGCAGGATGGGAACAGAGACCTGCAGGGAAGCATGAGCTTCACATCCTGCACCCTGCAGCAGGGCAGAGTGGCTCCAGGGCACAGCCAGCCCAGGAAACACACAGGAATGTCCCCAAAATGAGGGTGAGAGCCACAGCATCCCAGCCCACCCCCTGCACACCAAAGCACAGCTGTGCTGCAGTGCCCACAGAAACGCAAAGTATTTGCCTTGTGTAAACTTCAGAAGTTTTTAAGGATTATCTCTGGACTGACAACATGTGCAGGGGAGCCAGATTTTACTGCAAAAACAACATCTATTCCAGTCTTTCATTTGGATTTTTCCAAAGGACACCACTCTCTATAATAATCCTTTGGCTTTCCAGCAGGCATGAAAAATGACTATAAGAAATTTTTAACCGGGACAGCGCATACAAAATCAAAACCCCTCCAGAATAGAAGTTTGGGTTGTTTTTTCTTTTTTTTTTTTTTTTTTTTTTAAAGAGACATTCCTATTCAGAAACATAAGTTCCATTTTGAAATAGATCATTTCAACATAATCCCACTCTGGAAAAGTTCATTGCAGCTGGACACCATCGGATGTGGGATAAAGGACTGACCAGAGCATCTCACAAAGGGAATTCTCAGGTCCTGCTGAGTGTCTGTGGGAATGCCACTGCATCTGGTAATTAGAGACAGTCAAGATGGAACAAAGGTTTGTTGGAGATGTGAGCTGCTGACCTGATCCAAAGGACTGCTAAGAAGCCACTGTTTGAGCTGCCTGGGGGAATTGCATTCTTCCACACCACGGATTTCTATTCACAAACAGCACCCTGCCTGTGCAGATTTAAAAGGGACTAAAGACCTCTCAGGAGGGGAAGTGGTCCCTCAAGACACAACCTGCAATACTCTGCTGTGGGATGTTCTTTTTCCCCTTAGCTCTAGATCCTTTTCAGCAAACTGTCAGAGATTCCAGGATGGGCTTAATTCTTCTGGATAACATCCACCTCTGTGAAATAGGACAAGCCTGATTTCTAGACAACAGAAAATCCCTTTCAAACAAGGCTCACTCTATGTCTAGTCCTGCTGGCTCTACACAGCAGAGATGACCTTTGGAGTTTGCTAAGTGGACTTGAAGCAGAACATTTCAACTCAATGCTTTTCAATTTATCACATTCCATATTTGCCTTAGAAATATTCAAGTAACACAAAGAAGCCAACAGCTGCTAAGGTTGGGGAGAGTTTTTAAGTCAGTGAGTGTGTATAAAAGCAAAATTCCTAACTGGTAAGACATGTTCAGTGTCTAGCTCTGACATTAGTTATGAAACACTCTGGGGAAACTTTTGCCAAAACACTCTGAATTCACAAGGAGCAGGATATTTTGGTGCTTAAAGGCCTGGGCTAGGACTCAGGACACCTGGACTCAGTTCCTGGCCCTGTCACAATCTCACTGTGCAGCCACTGGAAAAAAAAAATTTTGTTTTCTTTGTGCCTGGTTTTCCATTGTTTTTAACTAATAACAATAAAAAATAATAGCATTTCTCCCACAGAGTAGTAATTTTGTTTATTTGGATGGCAAGCAGCTTGGGGGCCATAAGCATGTGCAAGCACGTAACACAAGGAGATTTTGATCTTTGCACAACAACTGCTGAATGAAAATGAGCAAGGAAAAAATGACAAATGTGCACTCACAACCTCAGTATGTGCTCTAAGCCCTGCTTGCTCACCCCACTGGAATGAGATTGCTGGACTGTTGCTGCAGCTTTGCACCAAACCCTGTGTATTTCAGCCAGAGAAGACACAAGAAATCAGAGCATCAGCACTGAGAGAGCCCTGGGAACACCCTGTCCTGTCCATTTTGATCTTGACATACCAACACCTAGAGCTGAGAAGGGGAAAACACACCACGTAAGTGCTGCGGGGTTCTGATGCTGGAAGACGTTTGTTTTCCTCAATGAGATTTAGGAGTGGTTCATAAAAAAAAAAATATTTTAACAGCAGAACCTCAGATGAAAGAATTTCAGCAAACTGCAATGCTCAGTTTCACTCCCAGCTGGGACAGTGCTGGCCTGGGCTTCAGTGGGGTTGTGGCTTCCAGCCTGCAGAGGTGGCCTGCACTAGGGAGGCTGCTGTGACTGGAGCACTGTGCAGGAACAAACACAGGCTGGAGAAAGGACCTGGAGTGGGCATCTTGATCATCACTAGACATCTGAACCCAATTCTCACTGATAACCATTGAGAAAATCCTTTATGGAGCTTCCATGGGCTGCATGGTGACACTCAACACAATTCTAACAGACCCTTACTATTCATTGCCATTCCGATACCTGCCAAGGTAGGCTTAAGCCAGCAAACTCCATGCTGAGCAACCTGATTTCTACCTGTGATGCCACAGTCACCAACCTGCTGGGCTTAAGGACCAAGCTGTCTCACTGAAACATGTCTAACCTGCTGCTTGATTTCAACCCCACTTTGGCTGCTGGGTGCCCTAAAGAGAAACCCAGAGGATTCACCCCATCACTGACAGCTGCCCCAGACACCTCAGACTGGCTCAGCTCCAGGGCAGGCACATGCTCTGAATTCACACTTGCCTTCACCCCTTGCAGACAAATGCATTCTGACCAAAGCCCCTCTGGTGCCAGATGCTCAGCAGGCTGGCACAAACTCCTGTCCCCTTCCCCAGGGAAAAGGGCTCACTGCAGCACCATGGCTTCAGCTACAACGACCCAAAACTCACAGTCCTTTAGGTTTGCTCTCTGGAGCTTGGCAGTGGGACAAGGAAGCGGAACAGGCAGGGTGCCAGGCCTGTGAGACAAGCACTGCACAGCTTTACAGTCAGCTCATGCAGCCAGGGCTGCCCTCCCACCACCTCTCTGCTTGTGCTGAGCACTGACACTCTGCAGCTGTAAACACAGCAACTGCAGGTATTCAGCTGCCCCCAGCTCACCCTGAGCTTTTCAGGGCAAAAAACAAGGATGAAAGAGGTGCAAAAGTCAGAGGATTTAGAGAGAAGGTAGCCAAAGCAATAGAGATTCTGACTGAGAAAAGAGGTCACAGGTATGATATAACCAAGACCTCAGACTATTCTTCATACCGAGTTCCCATAGCATTGAATTTAATATCAAATATTGGCAGCTGCCATGCATTCTGTGTCTAACTGTCCTAATCCAACCTGCTTCTATATTAAGGTTTCTTCATCACATAAAATACAGTTTCAATTAAAACTTTTTTTTTGAGGGGAATGGAAGTAAGGTTTATATATTGGAAAACATGTCAGATCCTTCAGCATTTCTCACCATGCCAGGACTGGACCTACCTGCACATAACCTCAGTTAATTGCAGAGTGTATGAACCTGGCATGGAGCCTGTGATGAAAAATTTCAAACCATTCAGCTGACCTAGAAACCAAAGTTTCCAACCTCACAGACAATCCCTGGTTTGCTGAACAGATAATGTTTTTCTAAACTTTTCCACAGCTCCAGTGCTGCTGTGTTGTACTGAAGGTTCAGTGCACTGGGCTCTGCAGAGCAAGGAGGCTCTGGAGCCTGCAAGCACAACAAGGGAAATAAAAGGTTCAGTGCCATGAAGGATTAATCCTGTTGTGTCTGTGCAGAGCTTACTGCCCAGCAGAGAAGGAGCAAGGAGCAGTGAGATGGCTATAAATAGCATCTGACCTTATCTCAACTATTTTATTATTGCAAATAAGAAGGATTAAATTCTCCAGAGAAGTTAATCAGGAAATTTTCCTTCTGCTGATGGGTCACACATTTGCTGAAGTGTTTTCAGCCCACTATGGCACCAACTGTTCCCACAGAACCAGGAACCAGAACCAGAACTGTTCCCACAAAATCAGGGAGCAAGGCAAGCACACAGCAGGAAAAGACCTTAATTGAGTGCAGGGAAGAGGTACCAGGAGCCAAAGGTGTGAGGCCATCTCTAAGTTCAGTTCCACACCATCCCCTGCTCTCCAAACCTTTTA